GGGAGCTCACCATGGCCCTGGCAGACAACGCGGGCTGTGCCAACCCCGTCGAGGACAACCCCTTCCCTGACATCATTGAGCTCAACGTGGGGGGACAGGTGTACATCACCCGGCACCCCACGTTGGTCAGCGTGCCCGGCTCCCTGCTCTGGGAGATGTTCACCCAGAAGAATGTGCGCTCCCTGGCCCGCGACAGCAAGGGCCGCTTCTTCGTGGACCGGGACGGGTTCCTGTTCCGCTACATCTTGGATTACATGCGGGACCAGCAGCTGGTGCTGCCGGAGCACTTCCCGGAGCGGAGCCGCCTGCAGCGGGAGGCCGAGTACTTCATGCTGCCCGAGCTGGTGAAGATGCTGGCACCGAAGCTGAGCAAGCAGAACTCCCTGGGAGAGGATCCCTGCCAGAGCGACCCCGAGGAGCTGTCCCCCAGCGCCGACACGGCCCGCGCGCTGAGCTCGGCCGGTGCCGCCCTGCCTGGCGCAGCCATGGGCGCTGCTGGCACTGGGGGTGCTGGCACCACTGGCACCGAGGGCCGCAGGGCAGGGTTCATCACCATCGGCTACAGGGGCTCCTACACCCTGGGCAGGGACAGCCAGACCGACGCCAAGTTCCGTAGGGTGGCCCGGATCATGGTGTGTGGAAAGACCTCGCTGGCCAAGGAGGTCTTTGGGGACACCTTGAACGAGAGCAGGGACCCGGACAGGCCCCCAGAGAGGTACACCTCCAGGTACTACCTCAAATTCACCTTCCTGGAGCAGGCCTTTGACAAACTGGCTGATGCTGGCTTCCACATGGTGGCCTGCAACTCCACAGGCACCTGTGCCTTCGCCCACGACCAGACGGATGACAGGATCTGGACCTCTTACACTGAATATGTTTTCTATCGTGAGTGATACAAACAAACAACCCTCCGCAAACCAAACACCAACTGTCCCTCTTTCCTCTCCTGTGCTGGCTGTTGCCTAGAAGGTAGACATCCATCCCTGAATCCCGGCGTTCCCCCTTTGCCTCCTTTTGAGTTTGTTTTTGGATTTTTTCCCCTCCTCCTTCCTCCACGTTGAACCTGCCCAGCTCTTCCTTGTAGCAGCTGCTGAGCACCAACCTTCTTCCCTCTCTCCAACTTCTGCAGTAGCTCCCAACCCTCCCTGGATGTGTGGAGTTGGACACTGTCGTGTGGTTTGGGTGGGAGGGGGGGACACACCGGACTGTGCTTTGTCTGGAATTCCTGCAGCTGGATGAGCTTGTGTTGGACACTGAACTTGGCTCTGTGCAAGTGCAGCTCCTTGGGACTGTGCTGCACCCACTGTGTTTGACCTGCCAGGGGCTGTGGGTGAGGAAGAGTTGGGTTAAGGACATGGAGAAAGGTGGGAAGCAGAGCCAGGGAGGGGAGGGAGGGGGTTGGGAAGATGAAGCCTGGCAGGATGTATTGCCATGAGCCCCTGTAAGCAGCTTAGCCTTTAGACTGGCAGCTCCTGGGGAGGGTAAAACCTCACCCTGTGATTGCAGCTCTGAGCTGAAGCCTCGCTGCTTCTTTGGGATGCCTTGGGGGTGTTTTGGGGGGGTATTTTGGGGGGTGGGAGGGTGTGGATGGGCTGACGCTCTGCTCATGCACATGTGGAGGGAGGTGGGGGGGAGTGGGGAAGTCTTTATGTGCTGTAGGGTGTAAAATGCTCACACATTTCTCCAACAACTTGGAGGTTTGTCAGAAAAAGAGTCCCTTCCTTTTTCCATTCCATAGCAATGGGATCAGAGGGATGAGGTTGAGATGCTCCAGCCACAGCCACAACTTCACCCAGTAAAGGGAATCTTTGCTGTTTGGGCAAACTCTTGGGAAGATCTCTCCAATCCCAGCTCTCCAGGGGCTGCTGCTGCTTTCCCATGCCTGGGAACTGTGTAATAAAGGAAGCAAACCCACTGGGCTGTGTCTGTGCCAAGGGGCAGAGCTGGGGGTGCTGCCTGGGGGCACCAGGAGGTGTGCCCTGGCACAGGGCAGGGAAGAGATGTGCTTTAGTGTGTGGGCCCAAATCAAGAGGAGAAGGAAGGAAGACAAACTTAGCAGAGCCCCCTTTGGCTCCCAGCCCTGCTGGGCCCCATGGCAGTGCAGCACATCCCTGCAGAGATGCCAGGGCAGGTGGGCAGGACCAGAATTGCCCACCTGTCTGTGCCCAGCCCTGGGTGATGGTCACCCCCATCGCCCCAGCAGGACCTTGCATGCTCTGAACAAGGGCTTGGCCTGCAGCTCTGGGTGCCAACACCTGCAGGAGCAGATGCAGGTGACACTCATGTTCCCCATTGCTGCCCCCTGCTCCTCCCCTCCATCCACCCCTGCTCCCCGCCTCCATCCACCTCTGCTCCTCCATCATCCTCCCACAGCACCTTCCATCCATCCCTGCTCCCCCACCATCCATCCCCACTCCTCCAGCTCCAGCTGCTGCTGGAGCACTCCCTGTGGATCTCCTCACTGGGGTTGGACAGCAGCCAAAGGGTCGTTTCTCTTTGGGCTCTGTGTGGGAGGAAGGTTTGCAGCTGCTTTCTGAGGAGGTAGGAGGGCTTTGGCACACAGGGGAAACAGAAGTTTTACAGCCAGGCCCCTCTGCTCTGAAGAAGGGGAAGGCAAAAATGGTATTTTTAGCCCATCCTGTTCCTCATTGCAACAACATTTTGAAGAGGAAATGGCAACCAGCTTTAAAAAAGAAAAAAAAAAAAAAAAGGGGGAACTTGAGCTCTTTGTGCACTCAAGACTTTTTAATTAAGGCGGGAGGGGACCAGGTTCGCTTCCATTTTTTCTGTTTTTTAAACTCAAGACTTTTCTGATCATTATTAAGCAGGACTGATTGGGAAAAGAAATTGCTGCCTTGTGAGAAATGTGGGTGTTTTGATGTTTTTTCCCCCTCTGGAACTGGGCTGAAAAAATTGATCTCATGGGAGGATTTTTTTTTTTTTTTTCCCTGAGGGAGAAACCAAAGTGGCAGAGTCAACATTCAGCAGGTTTTGATCTGGCAGGTTATGTGAGCAGGGCTGTTAAACCCAATACCCCCAGGAAACATGATCAGAGGCTACTTTGGAATCATTTTAGAGCCTGATGATGGTTTTCCTGCAAGCTGAGACTTCATGCAAAAATACTTTTGTTGAGGTTTTTTTGAGCTCAGCAAAAATCCAACCAGTTTGGGGTTGTTTCTCTTGGCATAGTCATGGGAAGTGTCCTGCTGCTGCTGCCCATGGCTGGCAGGAGAACCTGGTTAATTTGGTCCTGAGGAGAGACCATTTGCAGGGAAATGGTGCCATGAAAAAACATCTCTTTGAGGTCTTCAGCCTCTGAGCAATCGTGGCAAACAAAACAAGAAGGGGGTGTGTGAAGTGAGTTCTGTCAGTCTCCAGGACAGTGGAAAAGGCATTTCCCTGATGCTGCCTTTTCCTGGGAATGTTCCTGTATTTGTGGATGTTTCCAGGACTGGAGCTGCTGCTCTCTGTCTCTGGGTTGCTTTGAACTTGTTCTGTCCTCTTTGCTCTCCCCTCAGCACCTCCTACCACCCAGGATGTCCATTTTACTCCCGGAGCAAACCCAAGCCTTGTTCATCTCTCTTCCCTCCTGTTGGATTTGGAGGTGCTTTTTTTTTTCTTCCCAAGAGGTGACATAACCCTGCTCTTCAGGCTCTGCCTGTGCACAACTGGGTTAAACTGATGCTTCTGTCACCAAAACCTGGGGAATAAACTCCCAAAGCAGTTTGTTGGCTTAAAAAGTCCGTGTTACTTTTTCCAGTGCTGAGGGACCTCCACAAAACACCTACTTCATTTATCAAGACTTGTAACTATTAATACATTTTAGCAAGCAAAGGAATTAATGTTTATTTGCTGCAAGTTATAGTTCTCTTAATAATTAGTATTTTAACTTCTATTGGTTAATGGTTCTCTTGCTCCTCATGCTCAGTTTCTCTCTCCTTTTTGGGGGTTTCTTGGGTCAGTGGGGTCACAGATCCCCCTTCCAGAGTTACTTTTTCCCCACCTGGAGCTGATCTCAGCACAAATACTGCCTCCTTACCTCAGGAGTCCTGCCACAAGTCCTGGTGGCCCGTAAATTCTGCCATTATCAGTGGTACATCCCTCTTCCCAAGCTTCTTCCCCAAGTCTGAGTGCTCTGCTGCACGTCAAGCCCAAAATTTTCATCTGCTTCTCTAACAGATGGACATTCTCCAGACTTTGCCTGTCAGTGATCTCCATTTCACACATTAAATCTCCTGAACTTCTCCCCCAGTACAGGCTCTTTGTTTAAAGAAATGCATCTTGTTTGGTGACACCCCCAGCCTGGAGCAGAGCTGCAGATGCTGGGGGAGATGCTGGTGGACAGGGCTTGGAGCAACCTAGGCTAGTGGGAGGTGTCCCTGCCCATGGTAGGGAGGTAGAATGAGATGAACTTTTAGATCTCTTCCAGCCCAAAGCAGCCTGGGATGCCCTGGTTCCATGACCTGGTATTCCTGATCTTTGGAGCCGGTGAGGTGGAACGTGGCCTTGTTGGGGGTCATCTGTCACCACCCTTCGCAGGATCCCCTTGGGAGCTACAGCCAAAGATCCTGCCCAAAAAAACTGTAGCTCCAGGGCTGTGGGGAGGATCCAGGTGCTCCAGGACTGGCTGTGCTGCAGCGTGGGAGTGGAACCCCTGGCCTGGCACCTCCCAGGAGGGCCACATGGGCAGGGGGTGCAGCCCATGCCTGGAGGAGGGGTGACCTGCATGTGCAGGGGGGGATTAGTCACATTATCTGCAAAAACCCAGGCCCAGGAGGGATCCCTGGGATTACTTTAATCTGACCTGCACTGAGCCCTCCTCAGCTTTTCTCATCCTCCTGGGAAGAACTGTGGTTAACAGAGCCCTGGTCCCTTCCCACATGCCAGGCCAGCCACCACCTCGGCCCTAAGGCTGGCATTTAGGATGGTTTTAGGATGACTTTTAAGATAACCCCCCAAGGGGGTCTCATGGCAGCAGGTCCCACGGTGGGGAGAGTGTCCCTTGAGCTCACCAGGCACCAAGGAATGTTTGCATGAAGAGCTTCCAAAGTGAGTTTTCCCTCAGAGGGGTAACATAACCCTCCTTTCATTTAGAGATGCCCAGAAAATCAGCCATCCCAGAAAAAATGAGGCAGAGCAGGAGCTTGGCTTGGCTTTGCCTTCCCACAGATTGCTGGTTGCTCATTCTGCACAAAACCTGCAGAAGCTGAGCTTAAGGAAAAGCCAAATCCCACCTGGCTCCATCAGGCACTTCTGGCACCCCAAGAACCTCTGGAGACACTTGCTCTGTCTTCATTCCCTGTTTGGTGGCAGTTCAGTCCTGCCCTGTCCCAAAGCTGAGCTCTCCCCACCCTGCCCACAGCAGGAAGGATGGAGCACATCAATCCTGAGGGACTGGGAAGAGGACAAGCAGGGTCCTGTGGAGACCAGGAGATTAGAGAGGTTAAAGGGGAGGCACAAACCCCCCAGCCCAGAAATCCCAGCCTGTCATGGGAGACCAGGTCAGCACATCCCAAAGATCCCAGGGACTTGATGGAGTGCTGAAATAGCAAGAGATTTTGAGATAAGAAACCAAAATCTTCCACTCTCATGGAATCATGGAATGGTTTGGGTTGGAAGGGACCTTAAAGCTCATCCAATCCCACCTCTTCCATGGGCTGGGACATCTTCCACCAGACCAGGTTGCTCCAAACCTCATCCAACCTGGTCAAAGTTTTCTTAATTTGAAAAATAACCCCAAAAACCCCTCTCTTTACCAACATGGGCACCCACCACTGAGAAGAACTACCAGAGACACAGGGGGGTTCTCCAATTCTTGGTGCAGAAACTGCAGCCTGGATGCTCCTCTGCAGGAAGGAGTTTAACCAAACGAGGTTAACCAAAGGGTCGGTTCAGCAGCTGACAGCAGCTGGCTGGGAGGTGCAGGAGGTGAGACACAGTGCAGAGACCTCTGGGGCTCTGGGGGAGGCAGCTGAGCAGGCAGTGTTTGTGTCTGCTGGAAGTCCTGAGAGCCAGAAGATCTGTTGGGTTCTGATGACTACCCAGAGCCAAAGTTCATTGCCAAAGGAAGCTTGTTCTGACAGCTTGTTCTGAGCTAAAGCAGGTGGGACTCAGTGACTGAAGGATGTGCAGGTGATTTTCTTAAAAGGCTCTTGCAGTCAGAAAAGTTTGGCTTAGTTCTGGGTGATGGATGGGCTGGAATTCTCTCCCCCTTCTCCAGGAGGATCTGAGTGAGAGATGTTCTTGCAAACAGACTAAACCAGATTTCACCTAAATCATAGCTGAGTCCAAAGCACAATCTTTGGATCCCAGATGTCTGTTTGCTCTCCCTCCTTACCATCCTTCAGGATAGACACACCAGGATGCAGAGTCCACTTTGCCAGGAGTGTCCATAATTAGCCCCTCATGGCCCAGGGCATCAGGAAAAATCTCCCATCAGAAAGAAATGTCCTTCCCAGCCCCACACTAAAGCTCAGCCTGTGGCTCCCCAGACTCGGCCCAAAGTGGGATGATGAGGTTGAGCAGGAGGGAGAGGAGGGGGCAGCAATTAGAGAGGAGAAACAGCTCTTTG